TATATATATATATGGAGGAAGAACTTCATGATGAATTTTTCTCCAAATGCTGTCTACATTAGCACAGTCTAGAAAGAGTTTCATCATGTCATCTCTTGTCTGTGAAAACAGACTAAGAATCAGGCCTCCTCTATGTGTTACTTTCACATCTGGGATTGGTGCCCCGAGCTAATTTCCTACCACACAGCCACAATGTTAGACATCGCTCACGGCATGATTTCAAACCATCATGTGGTGAGTTCACATATCACTGATAGCCACAAATGGCAATACAAGCCCATGCTATTCTGTGCACTGGGACACATTCCTACAGAACTGGGATGGAGGGAGGAGGTTAATAAATGTAAAATAAATAAACACAAACTTTTCATGCACATAAATATAAATGCAAAGAAGTACCATGATATATTTCCCCGCCTCTGCAGCTTTTGCCCATCTTGCCACTCCATTTCGCAGAGGCAAATTACTTGCCTTTCTCCCAGCAACTACCGTTAATAACTTCCAACTTTATTAAAAAGGTTGGATGCCACAAAGGAATGCTCTCATTGATTACACCGACACAAAACACAACAATAACTGATCAGCTCAGACGTATGCAAATTGTTATAAATTGAGCTTGGTGGCCTATTTGTGGATTTTGGATGGGACACGAAGGCAGGCTGGTTTACATCTCATATGCATGAAGAATTTTAAGTGGTTTTGCTCTGAAAATGCAGTGAGCAGACAGAACAGTCACCCCAATGAGATTGTGCAGCCAGGCAGTATTAATTAATTCTAGCAAGAAGCTGATGAAGATGAAATTTAATAAGTTAAATGTGTATTAGTCAGCTTAATGCACAGGTGAACTAGTCTGCCCTTTCCAATCATGATGGAGTTGTTGTTTTTTTAAACGGCATCATTGTCTCCCATTGTCAAACAACTTCCAAAGCCTAATTTTGCCCTCCAATGGTACAATATGCAATGAAACTTAAAAAAAACCCAAAAAACATTTTTTACAAATATCATAGTTTATATAAATTAGAGAAAGAAAATTCCTGGTCTAAAATGAAGGACTTGAAGTCTAAATAATAATACCAGTATCCAGAATGATTAAAGTAGTAGTATGGAATCTACATTTTCAGAAAGGACTCTGCAACTATAAGAGACGTTTAGCAATGCCATAAGCGGTCGAAAGCAGCCACTGAAGCCTTTTCCTTGGAGGTGTTCAAAAGAAGACAAAATAGGGACCTGTCAGGAATGCTTTACCCTGTTAAAGCTATCTTGAAGGCTCCCTCTAGGGGCTTCATTGCCTTGCTTTTTTAAAAAGCAAAAAACAAATGCAGCCTTCAGGGTAGCTTTATTAAGGAAGAGAACAGCATGGGGACTGAGCAGGAAAAGTTAACCGTTTCCTTTCCTTTGTTATCTCTGGAAAAGCCACCCATGAGTTGCTCTTAAATGTGCTGGGGAAGACTTACCTCTATTTTTGTCCCCAGCAGACATAAAATCAGCTCAGGTGTGATATTTTTCCCCAGTGAAAAAATTGCGGGGGGGGGGGGTAAAAAAAGGGGGGGGGGGGGGGGGAAGGATTAAAATCCCTAACATACCATTCTCTTCCTTGAGCCAAGGAAGCCAAGATCCTGCATTTGCAAAAGAAAATAACATTACTTCAGGGCTTTTTTCTGAGAGAACGCGCCGGAACAGGATTCCAGAACCTCTTTGTGGAAACAAAATTCTCAAAAAAAAAAATCTGTTTATAAAAGTTGTTGAACCTCCCTTAACCATCTTTGATCCAACAAAATATGTTAAAACATGGTTGCTTCAAGGTCATCTCTCAGTGTTAGGCACCAAATGCAAGACCCAAAAAAGAACTGAGGAAGGTGGTGACAAGTCTAAAGTTTGGAAACTGCTTTAAAATGGAGGAAAATCCGTAGCACATTAAATAATATTGTTTCAAATAATCCTGTGTGTTTCACCTTCATTTCCCCCTTGAGAGTTTCGGCATCTCTTTTTCCAGAAGAAAAAACCCTGACATTACTTAAAACTAATATGGTGCAAAAAAGTATGATAAAGGCAAACCCTAAGGCAACTAATTTTTTAAAAGGTAAAGGTAAAGGTTTTCCTTGCTCGAAAGCTAGTCGAGTCTGACTCCAGGGGGCGGTGCTCATCTCTGTTTCTAAGCCGGAGCCAGCACTGTCTGAAGATGTTTCCGTGGTCATGTGGCCAGCATGACTAAACGCTGAGGCACACAGAATGCTGTTACCTTCTCACCAAAGCAGTGCCTATTTATCTACTTGCAATTTCTTGCTTTCAAACTGCTAAGTTGGCAGGAGCTGGGGCCAGAGATGGGAGTTCACTCCATCATGCGGCACTAGGGTCTCAAACTGCCGAGCTCCAGACCAGAAGGTCTGCCGCTCAGCGTCTTAACTTCTGAGCCACTGTGGCCCTAACTAATTTTTTAAGCCACCACAAAGTTTTTGAGAGGGGACCAACCTTGATAGCAGATCAGGAGAGGCTTGATCCTTCTGCTGAGGGCTTGTATGACTGAAAGGTACCTGTGTAGGGTTCCTACATAGCTGGGAAAACAACAGCTAGGTGCACTTTTTGACCAATAGAAACACCCCAAGGAAAAAGGCTAGGTACCTTTAATCCTCAAACATCCCCCTGTTACAGTTCTGGTCAAATTCACAGCTCCTAACACTGCCATTCATTACCAAAAGGAGACAGATCACTTGTTACACAGCAGCTGGTGCTATTTTGATAATGCCACAATTAGTCCTCATCTTGTTCTTTTGGCACTCTTACTTCTCAAGTCAGACAATAGCTTCTTCTGTGTTGTGCACATTTGTCCTGCTATCTTCCCTGTACACAGGTTTTGCAAGTTTTTCAAACATCACCAAAACTCGTTTTGATAATAGACAACACTGCACCAAAAGAAGCAAGTGAGCATGATGCATGAAAACAATACCCCCTTCCACGCCCTGCGACTGTATTAAAAATAATTGTCCTGGTCTTGCTCAGCTTCCTGAGGCAGAAGAGGGTAATAACATTGGGTGTCTTTCAAAACAGGCATTTAGGCAAAGGGAGGGTTTCTTCATCAAGCCAGCCATATGCGAGACTATTAATAAACATCAACTTCAGAGCCAGCAGCACAGTTGCTGTACTGATTTAATTCATATTAGACTCATTATAGTGATTACATATTCATTTCATGTTGTTTTAAACTGAACTATTATCTCAGATCATTTAAAGATTGCTTGATCACACAACGAGCGCAACAAGCACTCCCGCTCTTATAAAGCTTCTCTGCCTTGGTATCTCACTTTGGACTCTTCTTATTTTTTAAAATGTTTGGTGAAAACCTGTAATCACAGCCCTTGTGCAACATCTGTCTTACTTCCCACCCTGAAATCAGTTCTCATGCCAGGTATGAACATAATTTTACACATTCTTCTGCTTGTTAAAGAGACAGACAGGCAGGAGCTTGATTACTTACTAGGAACTCCAGATACCAGCCGTAAGGGGCGTAATACTCGGAAAGCCCGAAGTGCTTTAACGTCGAATCCAGCGCCTTTGCCTCCTATTGAATTCACTCCATCTGCTTTGGTTGCTTGTTCTAAAATTGCACTAA